TTTTTTTTTTTTTTTTTTTTTTTTTCTTCTTTCACTTTTTTTTTTCCATTTGGTTTGATTATGTGAGTGGATAGGTGTAGTGCCCTGCCTACAGATGCTTGTGGTAGTCAACTCATGGATACATGTATTCTAATACATGATAGCTTCTTGTGACAATTGCAGGGCATACATTTGGATCCTAGTATTTATTTAATGGATGAAGAAAATAAATCTTCAACCACCCCACAAGCGAAAGAGGAAGAGAAAAGCCCAGGGAGAAAGATAGATGGGAGCTCTGTTGAGAATGATCGTCCTCCCCCATGTGCTAATCAAGATAGTGAAAGTTCTTGTCCTCAGATTGCTAGCTCAAGGGAAACACTACATGGTGTGGACTTTGTTTCGTCCGATCTGAAATCTATGGACTTTGGTGACAGGAAATCTGAATGTAAAGGTGAAAATTCTCATTCTTTATTCTCCGTGTTAAATTTTAAGATTGGACCATCACTATATACTTTTGTTGTAGTTATCTATCTTCTCATTGTATTTCATCCTTTTCTTCTTGTGCTTACAGTTCATCTCTAAGCTCTGTTTCTACCTATCATCACAGGTGAAATGGCAAAAGATGCTGCCACAACTAAACCGCCCATCGTAAATAAAGCAAAGTCTGGTCCTGAACCCATTATCATTCCTATAATTCTAAAGATGGCTGAATTTGATCATAAGGTGTGTAAAATTTTGCTTTTGCTTGTGATGATGAGAAAAGTGAAAGGCTTATAATATCTCAATAGCTCAAACGCCAACTCTTCCTCCCAGGCTTTGTTAGAGGAGTGGTTATCTACTCGTAGCAGCGAAAAGTATCCGATACAGGTATAAGTGCAGGCATAATTAATCATATTTATACCTGTGAACTTCATGAAGATAACTTTCCAGTTTGTTTTGAATATAATTCTTTTATCAATGCTAGATACATATGACAATTAGTTGTTCTCTTACTGTGGCTTCGAATTAGATTTTTAGTTATCATTATATGAACTGGGTTTTGTTACACCATCATGAATGCTGCTGCTTCTTTTACATTACCATTTTTCAAGAATTTTATATGGGGGATGAATATATCTCGCTATGAGGTTGAGTTGTGTATGGTAATCTGAGTGGTAACAAGTTATCACTTTTTTAAATTTCTAAAGTTTAACTGACCTTTTAAAAGAAGTGTCATAAACTTAATCGGAAAACATTTTATGTTGAGTATATAAAATACATTATTTTTCTTACCTGTCTGGGCTATGTTTTTGCTCGTGCCGTCTATGGGCCTCTGATAAATCTTTGACGACTGCTGTCTACATTTCCCAGGACAAGGATAAATTAATTAGCAACTTGAAGACAATCCAGGACTATCTCTGTTCATTTAAATCACAGGCATGATGATATTTGGGGGCCTTTACGACACAATCATTCTTACACATTACATCAAATTTAATTCACTATTCATACACGCATAATTTTAACTAACCATCACTTCACACCATCTATCTCCTACTTTTATATCAAATCAATTTTACATATTTTACTTTAAATACTATTTTAATATAAACTCAAATTGCCACTAACAACTAACCATACTACTTTTTTCAAAAATTAACCATACCAAGAAAATCCTAATATTTTTTTTATCCAAGCTAGCATTTTAGAATATAGATGCTGATAGAGTTTCTCAAAATCTGAGCAGGGTTATACAGTTGTCAACTTATCAGCTACAGCTTTCCCGCAAACCTTGGATTGGCTACACAATTATCTTCTTCAGGTAATTGATATTTCGTTACCTTTGTTAAAAGCCCACTTAGTGAATTATTGCGATTGTTTTCCTCCTGTAGGGTCTTGTTCTGACTTTCTTTTTTGGTTAGGCCTTACATTAAAATGGGAAAGCAAAAATTTATTCTGGTGTTATTATTATGTATTGTGGTTTATCAGGAAAGGAAGAGAACAGCGACTCTGCAAGTTGGAATACCTCTGACATCTTATGTTTTACAAAAACAAAATAATTTCTCATCGTCACAATATTTCGAAATGAGTTATGAACTGATGCTTTTCCTTCATGATTAGAGTAAAGCATCCGTTCCAACAGTATCTAATAAAAGCTTGAGTAAATGTATAGTCATTTCACGAGGAGATAGTTAGGAGTTATTGTCAATACATAGAATAAAGATCATAGTTGAATTAAAATCTCATCAAAAGAGAGAAAAAAAAAAGGGTTCACTGGATCTTTTTTTTTGCGTCATTAAGTTCAAGGTAGGAGAATGGTTGACAGTTTCTTGTTTTCTTATTCCACTTTCTTCTTGTGTTTTTTGAAATTAACTTTCTTTCCCAATAAAGAAAATGGGGGTAAAAGAAGCTTCTGAGGGCAAATGTTTTTTTTTTTTTAAACAGTGCATCGAGCAGGGAACATCATCTGTCTCCCCATCAAGTAGTGATCAGAAATTAAATGTCCCAAAATGACATCATAGCTCGGGTGGATTTTAAGGTATGTTCTCTCACAAAACTCATGCTGTCTTTTAGCGTATACATCATGACATGATTAAACACACAGGATCTGAAGGAGTCTCGTGTGTACGACTGGAAAAGTTAATTGTGGTACAACTCTTAAGAGAATCATAAAAGAAATGAACTCAAAGAACGAGTTGTAGTGTTGAACTGGCAGGACTCTGTTGATAAAGAATAATAAAGTTCTTGTATGATGGGATTGCCTTTTTTGTGAATAAGGGCTGCCTCTCAACTCGATCACCGTATGCAAAAGACTGAGTTAGGACTTAGTGTAATAACTTTGGGTAGTTACTTACATCTGTCTCAACTGCCTGCATTTGATGTATCTATCCACAATACACTTGTGTTCTAAGAACTACATTGTAATTTAAATCATGCCCCTACTTTGTTCTAATAACTTTGGGTAGTTCAACTTTGTCACATTGAGTGTTACTGTTGTGAATTGTGATTGAAAAAGGTAGGCACACAATTATTATTATTATTATTATTTTATTAATGATTATATATATCTACTTGTGTGGATTAATTTTATCATTCATTGGATACACAGTAAGATTTGTTGGGTTGACAATAATTTTTGTGAATCCCATGATGGATCTCTACTCATATAGTGTTAGGTTGCCTCGCAACATCATTTTAGATAAACATAGGGAAATGCTACGGTCCCGTTACGAAACCATTCTGACAGGGTTTGTAACCGTTAGATCATCATGTAAATGTATAACCGTCGTGGATAGTTGATCTAACGGTTGCAAACTCCGACGGAATGGTTCTGTAACGGGACCGTAGCATTTCTCGATAAACATAATATAAATAAAGATGGATATAGACAGAATAAAATATTTAATCATATCAAATTGCTGAATTAAGCACAACAGAACAATGGTACATAACTGGTAGCAAGAGTACTTCTTGCTAATTGTTGTCCTCAAAATGACTTTAAATCTCATCATCCCATAAATCTTCAATTGTCTTGTAAGGGCTTGTTCTTTGATTGACATAAAATTCACCCCTCATTATTTTCCACTCATCTATTTTCTCAATTTCAAGAATATCACTGTCCTCCAATTTAAGATCAAGTGAGGCCATGTTCTCCTTAAGCCTCTCCTGATTGAAGCTCTTCACAATAACACTTGACCCTTTGGATAGTCCCCACCCAAGAGCAACCTTCAGGGATAGTTTAAATACAATTAATGACTACTGAAAATACAATTAGCACGACCTAATTGGTGTTGATCAATGATCTTTTACCTGAGCTGGAGTAGCATTGTGCTTGAGGGCAATTGATTGGATGATTGGATTTTCGACCACAGCTGTCGAGCCCCAGAAGTTTCCGGGCCCGCCGAGAGCTGAGTAGGCGCTTACGTGGATCTTGTGGTCGTTGCAAAAGTTCCTTAGCTTTTCTTGCCTCCACATAGGATGCATTTCCACCTGTACCAACCAGAAAAAAAAAAAAAAAAAAAAATATATTTTTTACACACGAATTAGTTAACTACTAAATAACTAACATTTAAACTATAGTATTCATTTTCTAAAATAATATTTAGTTAATTCACCTGATTGACAGCAGGAGGGACCACAGCAAAATCTAAGAGGCTCTCAATCTTCTTACAAGAGAAATTGCTAACTCCAATCCCTCTACACAGGCCCATTTCCAGACATCTTTCCATGCCGGCCCAAGTCGTCTGCATCTCCAACTGCTCGAAATCATCCTCTTCCGGCAAAGGCCCAAAAGCCCAAGGCTTCAACTTTATGGGCCAATGCACCAAATACATGTCCACGTACTCCATCCCTAAGTTCCTGATTATTATAATTAAATGTGATTAATTAGTGACCAATAAATAAGTATTATTACGAGATTAAAAGTTATGTGAGTGGTTCAATTACACTAGAGTTTGTTTTAACGCCGAGACGGGGTCGTGGTGATGGCTTCCCCACAATTTGGATGTAACGAAAAGGGACCGTCTTTCGGTTAGACTGTCTGATATTGCCTTCCCTAAAGCATTTCCTAAGGCGGGCTCCGAACCGTATACTTGGGCCGTGTCAAAGTGAGTGTAGCCCATCTGTAAGAGTAAAGCCCGTCTTATTTGTTTTCGACTTTCGAGAGTTCGAAAATTCGAGCAAAAGAAGAAGTGAAAGGGAAGTTTTCAAGTACCTTAAGGGCCATTTGGACAGCATTTTCAGTAGCTTTCCTTTCATTCTCAAAAGAATAGGTTCCCATGCCAATTATAGGTATGGCCATGCCATTGTTCAATCTCACTTGATTAATGCTTCTCATTTTTCTTTTCTTTTTATATTTCTCTCTATAAATAAATTTAAAAAAAAAAAATGTGTGTTAAGAATCAAGATGCATGGGAAAAAAATACCATAAATGGGGGTTTATGTAGTGTTGGAACCCTATGCAAAAGTCAACCTTCAAGCATTTATTATTCATTTTGAGATATATATTTGAAGGGGCCAAATCCACATATGACGACAAAATGGCTAAAGTAGATTATGATTTGTTTGAATAAGTTGAGAGGAAGATATATATATATATATCAAGAGAGTATTAAAGTATCAACTGATGTAAAAATTACATACAAGTGAAGTCAAAAATTAATATATAGTAATATAAGTGAAGTCAAAAAAGTACTCTCATCTCATCTTGAGTAATACGAAAATTAGGGAAATGCTACGATCCAGTTATGAAATCATTCTGTCAGATTTGTAACCGTCAAATCAATTATCCTCGACGGTTACATGATGATTTAACGATTACAAATCTCGACGGAATAATTTCGTAATGGGACTATAGCATCTCTCACTAAAATTAATATAGTACTCTCATTTTGAGTAATACTAAAATTAATATAGTAATATAAGTGAAGTCAAAATTAAAACAAGATGCCATACTTGGTGATCGTTCATTGGATCAATGCATTGTCATGTCCGAACATAAATGCATATTTATATTATAAAAATATTACATATTGTTTATAGGCAAATGATACAGTCAGTCCCGTTACGGAACCATTCCATTGGGATTTGTAACCTCATATAACCGTCATGGATAATTGATCTACGGTTATAAATCCCGACGGAATAGTTCCGTAACGGGACCATAGAATCTGCCATTGTTTATATAAAATATTACATATTGTTTATATCAATTTTAAAATTATGATATTTTAGTGTAAAATATGTAGATCAGTAATTTTTTTTTTATTTAAAATATGATATTAATGCGTTGCAACAATGAATGTGGTGGATCATCAGTAATTTTTATTTAATTTTTTTTTTTGTCATTTTCCGGGGGAAACGATCATATTATTAATTTTTAATTTTTCGAAAGTCTTATAGATAAAAAATGTCCCTCGTGACATTTATTACACAATATATATGGCCACAAAATATTGTTTTGACACAATCTTTCATTATATATATATATATATATATATCGTCATTTTAATTAAATGTTGACAGTTGGAATTCAAGTAGTTACTGGTAACTTAAATGTATATATATATATATTTTTCTCCATTTTATTTTGTGGTTGCGTTAGCCAAACTTATTAATTGGGATTCATTTATATATTAAAATTTAAAATTTCGATAATACTAGGAATTAAATAATAATTAGAAATCTAGCTAATAGTATTAGTGATTATACTGACTTTGCTAATTACGATTTTCACCATATTTTATTATAAGACATGAGAAACATTCGGGATTTTATGCATGCCAGGTGGCGTTTGCTTATGCCCTTTGACTTAGAATTAATTGAAAGAACATATCAATAAAGTCAACTGCAATTAGCTTGAAAACATTCACCATCAAAATTTATTTATATATACTACTTATATAATTTAATTAATTATACCAAGTCAAAGGGCTCGAAATTAACTCGTCGATCCTAATTATATTCGAAATTAAATTTGAAAAATTAAAATATTTTGCTTCAGAAGTCCAACTTGTTGGTTGACAAGTAATTGTCCCAAAATAAAATCAGAATAGTACTAATACCCATGTACAACATGTGTGTTGAGTTAA